AAAGTCTGACTATAATTACTGATTTTGTGTATCAGATATTGTTTCTAGTATGTATATAGCAACGAAACAAAGTTCATACAAAGTCTGACTATAATTACTGATTTTGTGTATCAGATATTGTTTCTAGTATGTATATAGCAACGAAACAAAGTTCATACAAAGTCTGACTATAATTACTGATTTTGTGTCACAGATCGTTCGTGAAGTTCAATAATATGCAAACTTACATTTATTAAAGTCCAAGCACATGCCCATCCTCGAGTGTCATTCTAACGTCTACAAAATCATTTATTTTATTTTGAAGTCCACATTACGAATTTAAATCTTCAGTTATAACATAACCAATGCTACTTTTTTACTATTTTGATTTAAAAAATTTTGAATTAAAAAAAAATGTTCAGATAACCTAATGATGCACTCCTTCTAATGATAAATGCAATTGCAAATACCAAGAGCAGAGCAGAAGTTTTGAAACAGTTATTTGTGGGATAATAGATTTATTTCTGTACAACGTTTCGTCTGTAACAGTGAGACACGACGGCTGTTAGAGACGAAACGTTGTACAGAAGTAAATTTATTATCCCACAAACAGCTATTTTAAAACTTCATATCTACATTACATGCCTCATATGATGCAGATAACGTTATCTGGAAGACGATCAACCTGATACGATATATATATATATTTTACAATCCTGAAGTTAAATATAATAAAATTTACCAAATTCTATAACAACTAAACACGTTTAATATTAATTGAGCTAGAGATGGAAATGAGAATATGTATTATCCATGGCTACAATCTATTGATTGTGGTTCAATACACCATATTCCAGGATAGAGACTGAAGACGGATTTTAGTGAGAACAGAACGCTGGAAGGAAATCAGTTTTCCATGAATGGCTACTGAATGTATACTTTAGTATTAGGAAGGCCATCTACCTAGTCAACACACTGGTTCACGACGTTACGAAAGTATGTTTATAAACACTTCAACTTCACAGTTTACAGTACTGTGATCTTTCTCTTCCTATTCTACACTACTATTCTTCACTTAGCAAATTTTCCCTCATTAGGAATTTGTTTCTTGAATACTTTCTTCAGTTTCCATTTTTCTCGTGTTTATTCCTTTAAGCCATTTTTTTTCTCACACTCCGAGACCTTTTTTTTTACTCCTATGAAACGCTTTAATTTTTAAACATTCCCGTTGTTTTCTTACCTAATTATTTTCAATTTTTTATACAGTTTTGAAACATTTGTTCTCATACTTTCAAAATTTATTTTTTCTCGAAATTGTTATTAAATCTTTATTATCTCATCTTCTTCCTACTGTTTTATATTATATTTTTGGGGTGTTTTTTTTTCCACACTTTTCGGATTTTTTTCTTCCTCATTTTCAAATTTTTTTTTTTCAGATCTTCTTTTCACGAGTTAATAAAATAATTGTAACTAGAATCCGATATTTAAAAAAGTTACAACCAAGTGGAAAATTCCTCTTATTGTTAATAACGATGGAAGATCGAAATTAGATGCAACGTCACAATTACATCGAACATAATCTAAAGTAATGTATAATCAAAATGTACACCTTTTTCGAATTAACATAAAGAAGCTATATATCACTGTCAATCAGCGTCGTTTACCGTTCTTTCCCTGCAAGCGTTAATTTTTACCTCTTGGCTACATAATTAACGAAACATAACACGAAGATATAGCTATATATATATATATCAATGACGATTTAAAGATGTGTGACTAGCTCTTGGGATAACGGTATTATGAATAATGTTGCTAATTATGCACAATTCATTGACAATACATACGCAAAATGAACAGAGTTCTTAGTTATCGAATACATTTTCTGTAAAAACAAAACAAGAACATTTTCTTCATCTTCCACATGAAACTTTTCGATTGCTATACTTGATGGTTTTGCATGAATATTTACACAACTAAATACGATGTGTAAGCAAGCATTGGTAAAAAAAATCAACTCACCTTGCCAATACCAGCTGCCTACAGCTCCTACATACAGCCACTGACCGTCCTAATATTAAAAAAAAGATAAATTAATAAATATAATACGTAGACATTGATAAAATCAACTCACCTTGCCAAGACGTATAACTCCTATATACAGGCATTGACCGTTCGTCATACGTAGCCCCATTATACATTAGGCCCAGGGTGCATGTCCTAAGGGGGGCACAGAAAAAAATCGAACTGTTTTCTTTGCCCACATTCTTGTGTGAATGTCACTATTTTATGCTTCCACCAAAAACTGTTTTTAATCAAGTTTTATATTTTAACAGAATTTGGTAATAATCAATCTGTAGATATTAAAATCATGTATAACATTTACAGTTTTATATGTATATATATTGTATTTATGTTTCATTATTTTGGTTAAATTTGAATGATTCTATTGTACTAAATGTTTTATCCTTTTTTGGTGAACATACCATATTCGAGAATACGTACGTGGGTATAGTACGATATCATTCATTGTTGGAGGGGTATAGTGCGATATCATTCATTGTTGGAGCTGCTAAGCACTTGATTAATTGTTGTTGTTTTTTATCGGTTTCAATATGTTCATTTTTTTCATTGGAAAGTCTTTCTATGAATGTGATCGTTGATAAAAGTCGTAATTTAAGAAGTATATGGTGGGATAGGGACTCCTTTTTTTTTCCGGGTCAAGGGGCCCAAGGGCACAGTCATCGTATCGAAATAAGATGTATTCATGAATATAAAGAACTAACTACACTAATATAAACACTCGTTTCATGAATTGTACAAACAGGATCTTAATCACTGGCGTAATATCCCATGTGTAAAATCAAGTGTTTTTCGTTTTGTTTTTTACCGAAGAACTTTAGAGGCGTTTAGATGAAACTTATAAGAGCATTTCGACACTTGGTACAGCGTCTTATTTCACTATGACTATGGACCACAAGTTTATTTCTGAAAAACGGTCTGAAATCTAGATTGTTGATTATGATAATCAAGTCACGTGATTTTGACAATATTAAACAAAGTACTTTATATCAATATATAACACAGATGTATCAGTAAAGAGAATTATGTTAGAAACCATTAAATATAGCATATTATACGTGCATGATAAAATCTAAATTCAAATGATTTGGGATTGCTTGTTACCTTGGTGACAACCGCAGAAAATCCTGCTTGGCACGACTCCTGTCGGTAATACCTCAGAGTCACTAAAAATAACATAAAAAAACCCATTATACTCTGAATACATGAAATAATTTCTAAACATTTCCTGGTACCGAATGGTTTATTGAATAATTATCACTGTATATAATAGCTTCAAAATATTAAGTAAATTGAGAAAATAATACAGCGGTAATCGTCAAGCCTAATTGCAAATCAAATGGTGGATCCTAATTCAAAACCATATGATCTTGCCAGGGATTTTCTGCATATCATAGAAAGATGATTAATATATACTAGCCACAGAAGTCTGGGAACGTGATGATCTGCTAGACGTCACGGATTAGATTTTGAATAAATATTATTTTCGACCATCACTAGTATAAGTGAGGATCTAGTTGAACTTTAACATTTGCTTTTGTCTTCATAATTCCGCCCAGCAGACTCATGTGGTCTGTATTTTTTCACGCAATATATCCTTGGCAAGTCTGGGAAAATTCAACCCACACAACTTGCACGTACACTTTCTCCTTAATGTCCTTGTAAAACTATATACACTAATTAACAAACATTTGTCCTCGTCGCCTGATCAAATGTATGACAGATACAACAAGCCCGACACACTCAGACGTGTATCTCAGAGTAACCGTTCATTACTGATTTAGTGTAACGTTTGTTTCTCGTTGTTTTACTCATATACCAAACGTGGTGGGTAAAATATTCAGGAAACAAAATGCTTCACTCAAAGTTGTGTAGACGTGTAAACAACAAAGTATATCATACGGTGACGGGTAAAGTTAGACTCCCTCCAGGTCATTATATACAGGGTTTATCGTACTCCGTCAGAACGATTTGCATATGTTAATACAGTGGCCATGGCACCAGAACCGACATGTTTATCACCTATCATTTTGGTTCGCGGCGAATTTATAACCATTCGACAGTACAGTGTCGCCACAGACAGAACTATGACACAACCCTTTCTGAGGAAGGATATTCGTATACAGACAATGTTTAACAATTTAAAGTTAATGGACACAACAATCCTTCAGTATTCTCCATGGAAGAGTAACAACTTTCACAACAGTGTGCTCAGAATACATTCCAATGGGATACACAACCATAGTCAACTCGGAGCAACGCTCTTATCCGCGAAGTTATGAAAAAAAAATCGTCCGATTCAAAAAGCCATTGAAATAATATTGGTAATTTTTTTCTGGTACTATTTAAAAAGTACTTGAAGTTATCTTAGACCCCTAAGCCAAAGTATACACAAGCTTACAAGCATATCTCGAAATCAACGACTGTTTTCATATGAAAGATAGCAGATGAAACTGGAGTTGGTACAATCTTATTTAAACATATACCTAAATCAATTTAGCTAATTTAGTTATAATAAAATTTTATGCCTTTATTCTGCTTAAATGGGGTTTTGAAATCCGACATCCACGTACAGTGAAGGGTCTATGAAGAGACTTTCAATATCCGTGGCCCTCAAAGAAACGTCTTATAACGGAAATTACGGAATTATGGTCATCAGACTGAGTAGGATCGACGGTAATATTAGGAGTAGCAAAGGATCTGGAGCATTGCTATTATAAAGTGAGATTAACCTCAATCTTATAAATATTTAAAGCTGTTCAACTACGTTTTGTATCGGTAGTTTTTAAGGTAAATACAATCAATCAAAATATGTATGTTTTTATGAGTAATATAAAAGAAAGAGGGAAGAGTTTGTGAACGAAAAAGGGTCATAAAAGAAGAAAAAGGGTCATAAAAGGGGGAAAAAGAGTATAAATAATCACAGAAAGGTACAGGAAGAAGAGTCATGGGAAGGAAAAAATAAATGGATAAAAATAGAACTGAAGGGAAGGCCTCATAAATACATAAGGGTAAGAAAAAGAAGAATACAAATAACAAATTAAAAGAAACTGGTATCAGAAAAGACAAAATATAATACGAAATGTGCATCGCGAAAACAAATGGTCTTTAAAAATTAAGGTCACATTCACGCAATAAAGGCATTATTTTGGGGTTTTAAATCAAGGTCTGAGAGTTGTGAAATACTTGGATACCTCCCTGCCCATAATAGTTCAGCTCATGATGGTCTGACAGCTGCGCCACATCCTTCTTGGTAACTCTGTAAGTTCATATCAATTATTGATAGGTGTGAAACAGCCTACCATTCTTCTCCATGAATAAGAATGGTAAACAACATATCTTTCAAAGCATCTTAAGTGTCTGATTTCTAAACGTTTTTTTTATTATCATTATTATTCCTTCACTGTTATGAACACTAGATCCTTGTTTTGTTAGTATATCTTCACTATGACACAAGTGAGTATCTTCACAAAATAAATAAATATTCATTCCAAAGATTTGTTATGTATAATAACTTTAACATCAATCCTGTTTTTTTTAGTAGACCACCAAATACCTTTCATAGTCACTTTCAGATATTTAGACTCTTGATGTAAAGACCAATGGCAAGAGAAAAATGTCCATGGACAGATGCCTTCAGGTAACTGCACAGAGTCTGAATTTGGTTTTCACTTTGAGGCATAAGCCAGTCCATGTAATGTGAAATTCAATAGAGCATCTATTGATTTAAAAGGCTAGAATGTGACAATTTATATTCTTCTCCAACTTTATAACACTATAGGAGGGTATAGTCTGACAGTATAGGAGGGTCTAGTCTGGTTGTTTTTTTAAGTTTTAGCTGTTGTGAAGATGTGAAAACCTTCCTTCCTCCGTAACGACATTTTCAACTGAATTACACATCTATTTCTTCTCATGCAATAAAGTGTAACGATCAAGGTTTGGTCCCCGAGATCGATATGTTTTAGTGTTAAACTATCTTGTCTGTGTATTGCTTTTGACGATAAATATAACTGTTTTAAGACACCTCACAAACTTACATATGCTTATACAAATATATATCTAACTGTTTATTTCAAAAAGACTTATTGCCACTAAAACATATCATTGTTTACAATTCACAGTCTTAATGCAACAGAAATGAAACATTTTTTATTTTAACACATATAATTAATTTGTAATACATTAAATTACTAATCTTATAAGTCACTGAGGCAAATTATGACTACACGATTAAATAAAACAATAATTCAAGTTGTACAGAAAATCATTTCCCATTGCAGTAAACTTAATGTCGTAGTATTCTACTAAAACATATGTTATAATGAAAGTGATTTTCTAGAAATTTGAATTTGTGTCGAACTGGTGTATTTAAGTGTTCTACACTCACAAAAAAGAAACCTATCATTCTATAGGTATCTGAAGAACTTGTAGCATTCCGCCACAGGGTCACTGATGAGGAGTGGAATTCTCCGAAACTAGTCTGGCTCACACATGCCAATGAAAGAATAGACCATTTCAAGATTTTACTTGTTGTTAAACAAATGTTTAAACAATTCTATTTATTCAATTGAATTTGTGTCTTAAGATGACTCATCGACGACAGTAAATTTCAATTTGTGTCTTAAGATGACTCATCGACAACAGTCAATTTCAATTTGTGTCTTAAGACGACTCATCGACAACAGGAAATTTCAATGTATGTGTAAAGATGACTCATCGCTAACAGTAAATTTGAATTTGTGTCTTAAGATGACTCATCGACAACAGTAGGAAATTGCTCCTTATTCTATTACATATTCTATAAAAATACTGAATAAGTCCGTCAGTGGCTCAGAAACAAGCTTGAACGCTTATAACGCTAAAATTCGGGACTTGAACCCTGCAGTTTTCACAACACACCTATGCTTATTATGCGGCTTTGACTTAACATTAGACAAAATCTAGTGAATAAAAACTTACCAAAGATTTTTTTTTATCATGTATAAATTGTCTACGTCAACCCGAGTAGCTTGTGACTCTAAGTAAAATGGGAACGTGTTGACCCAAACCAGTTTTGTGGTTTTGGTAATAAAATTACTGGATCAAAATATTTAAGAAATGAAATAAAGGAATACTGGAAAGACACACAAAAAACCTTAATTCTATACATCCTTAGTCATAGTCATAAAAGTTAACTTTGTTTAAAATATGCGGAAAGAATTTTATATAATACATAAAAAAAATACTATCTGCGTCTGACAGGATACTGACACAATATCTCTAACACTTTTTCAGTGTTGTTATTGTAACTATCCATCTTTGCAACTACACGTTTTTTGCAGTTGATCGAGTAATTCGTATATCTAATTTTTCTAATGATTGTAGATGTGTATATAGTATATATATATATATAATATCAATTCTACTATAAATAAAGTAAACTAAATGTACGGCTGAGAATTAAATAAAGGATTCTCAAAAGCTAACATCTGTATTATGATAAGTCAAACAATGTTCGTTGTATTGCATATAATATGTCAAGAAAAAGGAGAAAAAATATTGAATCTAAACATAAAGTCAATAACTATGACACATACTACATTACAGTACTAAACCCAATAACTATGACATATACTACATTACAGTATTAAACCCAATAACAATGACGTATACAACATTACAGTTTTAAACCCAATAACAATGACATATACTACATTACAGTATTAAACCCAATAACAATGACGTATACAACATTACAGTTTTAAACCCAATAACAATGACATAT